ACGGGCCGTATCGCAGTTAAGGTTGGAGGGATACACGTGGTGCGTTCCACCTACCGTCGAAGTGTGGCTGCCTCTGCGTCGTCGATAGCATACCTACCTCCTGACGAAGGGCTGGCCGTTTGGTGGTAGGTAGGGGAGCATCCGAGTTAACACAGTAGCAACCACTCACGTGCGATCGATCAGCCTTAGCCACAAGCTGTTTGATGTAATGCCTCTTCGATCGTTTTAATTACTTGGGGCGCGGTGAAGAGCTACGCAAATTGACACGCCAACCGAGTTGAATACGTATAGCTCGACTGCTTGTGCAATGATGTGGATTCGTGAGACTCTATAATATAGATAGATCAGAGTTAAATGAAAATTAAAGAATGAATTATTTGTCTTTGGTCATTTATGAAATGGATACATGACGACAGATTGGTGGGATGTTCCATGATTTCGAGATAATATACAATTTTAAAACCCAATTGGGATAGGATTTAAAGGCATCGCCAAAGTTACTTATTAGTTTGATGCCCCAATTCGTGGGATTTGGTTGATTTTATTTTTTTTCCAAGATTTATTTATTTATTTATATTTATTCATCGAGTCTGTTAAATCGCTTTAATATTACTCCCTCCTCAACTCCAACTCCAACTCCAACTCTGTGAAAACTCCGCTATATAAACCTATCAATTGCCTCTTCTCTTTCCCACCGCCCTTTGTGTCTGGCGTCGTTCCCTGCGCTGCATCTGCTGTCGTTCTTCTCCGGATCAAGTCCTCTGCTTTAGGCGAGTTCTCTTTCCACTCTTCTCCCCAATCTTTTCTTCTTCTCTTCCTCTGCATTTGGGCAGAGATCGAACGGATCGGCTGGCAGATCCTTCTTGATCCGCTCTTTCGGAGATGTCTTCCTGATGTCCCGCGATTTGCGATCGTGATGACGCCGGAAGATTGCTTGTGTTTCGCTTCCTGCTGCTGCTCCTCCTCCTCCTGTAGATTTTGGATCCCAATCTTGATGACGCGTTTCCATTTCTGCAGCTTGGGTCCTCCCGAGGAAGGCGGCAAGGGAAGGAACGCGAATGGCGAGCTACACCCCCAAGAACATCCTTATCACTGGGGCGGCGGGCTTCATCGCGTCCCACGTCGCCAATCGCCTGGTCCGTAACTACCCTGACTACAAGGTGGTGGTGCTCGACAAGCTTGACTACTGCTCTAACCTCAAGAACCTCCACCCCTCCCTCTGCTCCCCCAACTTCAAGTTCGTCAAGGGCGACATCGCGAGCGCCGACCTCGTGCACTTCCTCCTCCTCACCGAATCCATCGACACTATCATGCACTTCGCCGCCCAGACCCACGTCGACAACTCCTTCGGCAACTCCTTCGAGTTCACTAAGAACAACATCTACGGCACCCACGTCCTTCTTGAGGCCTGCAAGGTCACCGGCCAGATCCGCCGATTCATCCACGTCAGCACCGATGAGGTATACGGAGAGACCGATGAAGATGCCGTCGTCGGCAATCACGAGGCGTCGCAGTTGCTGCCGACTAACCCCTACTCCGCCACCAAAGCCGGGGCCGAGATGCTCGTCATGGCCTACGGCCGCTCCTACGGCCTGCCCGTCATCACGACGCGGGGGAACAACGTCTATGGGCCCAATCAGTTCCCCGAGAAGCTCATTCCCAAGTTCATCCTCCTCGCCATGCGGGGGCTGCAGCTCCCCATCCACGGAGATGGATCCAACGTCAGGAGCTATCTCTACTGCGAGGATGTTGCGGAGGCCTTCGAGGTTGTGCTTCATCGAGGCGAAGTCGGCCATGTCTACAACATTGGGACGAAGAAAGAAAGGAGGGTGATTGATGTGGCCAAGGATATCTGCGGGCTCTTCAATCTGGATCCCGACTCTGTCATCAAGTGTGTGGACAACAGGCCCTTCAATGACCAGAGGTACTTCCTGGATGATCAAAAGCTCAAGAACCTCGGGTGGTCGGAGCGGACAACTTGGGAGGAGGGACTGAGGAAGACGATGGAGTGGTACACTAGCAATCCTGGTTGGTGGGGCGATGTCTCCGGTGCGTTAGTTCCTCATCCACGGATGCTGATGATGCCTGGAATCGAGAGGCACTTTGATGCGTCTGAAGCCACAAAGGACATGGCTTCTCATTTCACCAACAATTTGAGTCAGACAAGAATGGTGGTTCCTGCTCCAAGAAATGCCGCTGCTTCCCAAAAGCCTCCTCTCAAGTTCTTGATCTATGGTAGGACTGGGTGGATTGGTGGTCTCCTTGGGAAGATATGCACAAAACAGGGCATACCTTTTGAGTATGGAAAGGGTCGTCTGGAGGAGCGCTCACAACTCATATCGGATATCCAGTCAGTGAAGCCAACGCATGTTTTTAATGCTGCCGGTGTGACTGGCAGGCCTAATGTCGATTGGTGTGAGTCTCACAAGACGGAGACAATTCGCACCAACGTTGTGGGTACTCTTACTTTGGCAGATGTCTGCAGGGAGCATGGGTTGTTGATGATGAACTATGCTACTGGGTGTATATTTGAGTACAATGATGCACATCCAGAAGGCTCAGGCATTGGTTTCAAGGAGGAAGACAAGCCAAATTTTACTGGCTCATACTACTCGAAGACAAAGGCGATGGTAACTAAAAACAACTCATGCCATTTTTACCTTATTTCCTTAGAAACATCGTAAGAGTTCTTGAACAAGCAAGAATTGCTTAGCTGATGAATTTATGAGTTTTCCAATATGGCAATGCAGGTTGAAGAACTTCTGAGGGAATATGATAATGTATGCACTCTGAGGGTTCGAATGCCAATATCCTCCGACCTGAACAACCCACGGAACTTCATCACGAAGATCAGTCGTTATAATAAAGTGGTAAACATTCCCAACAGCATGACTATCTTAGATGAGCTTCTGCCAATATCTATTGAGATGGCAAAAAGGAACTGCAGGGGAATATGGAATTTCACAAATCCTGGGGTCGTTAGTCACAACGAGATATTGGAGATGTACAAGAAATATATTGATCCCAGCTTTAAGTGGGCTAATTTTACGCTTGAAGAGCAGGCTAAGGTCATTGTTGCTCCTCGCAGCAACAATGAGATGGATGCTTCAAAGTTGAAGAAAGAGTTTCCTGAGTTGTGTTCTATAAAGGAATCACTTATCAAGTATGTCTTTGAACCAAATAGGAAGGTTCCGCTTGGTGGAGAAACCAAGTGAAACTAGATAATGTAGAAATTAGATCTAATTTCTCAACCTACATTACCTATGTTGAACCTTGTTCTCTGCCTTACTTTAGTTGTTCTATTTGCTGTATGTCTGATCTTGTCAATTAGTGTTCTTCGCTTAATGCATTGTAGTGAAGGCAATGGGTATTTGGCCATTTATGAGAATCGTTATTGTTAAAGGTCTAGAATTTGAATGGTCCTGTCCAATTAATATTGTAGGATATCTATTGAATCACAGCCGAATTGTTGTTTCTCTATGAACAGAAGAACTCCGTGAGACATCAAACCTCTACCTTTACCATCATTAGTGTTGGTTTTATGTTTTTTTTTTTTCTTCTGTATCTTGTTGCTGGTACTCGAACTATATGTATTTAAATCCAAATAGAGTTTCATAGTATATGGTGTAAATCTGTATATAGACAAATGATCTGCATTTATACTGTCCTTGAATAATGTGATTCCTAGCATGAGCTTCTTTTTTACTTTCTCGAGTCTTTCCTGTTTGGTTCTGTTCCTATGTCAAAGTTCATTCATGTATTATTTGAAGTAGAAGTTATTTCTGTACCGTACATATTCAAAGAAGGGTGGTCCATAGTTGCTGTGTCTTCTTTATGTTTGAAGGGCTTAAATTACAGTTTTCTGGTTAGGCATCTAATTCTTGACAAATGGTACATACTGATTTTAAACCTGCACAATTTTCTTCCTATCATGACAAATGGTCAAGAAACAATCTCCACTAGTGTTTTGTGCTACTTTTTGCAACTACAAGCTATGTCCTTTGTCTGAAAGTAATTGAAGTTCTAACTCATCTTATTTAACATGTAAAATACTATCATGATTTGAACTCATTTTTTTCTATGGTCTTTCAGTCATCCTACAGTCTGTTGAGTGAAACTTAATTGTTTTGATGCTGCTTCATGTTCTTTAATTAGTTTCATATGTTTTATGGACCTGACATCTGCACGTGCCTGGTATAGAAGTTGACGAAATCTAGTCAAGTAGAAAGGTAGGTGCATAACGTTGAATAAGAGAGAGGAGAGGTCAATTACACCGATACCTGCGGGACCAGCCCCTTATGAACCAGGGATGGGGCGGCAGACGAGTGATATCTTTTGTTACCACCCGTGCGATTATAGAGCGGGGATGGGTAGCTTCATCTCGTCCCCATAACTATCTCTCGATATGTGAGACGAGATGTTCTAAATGTTGGGCGGGTCAGTCGCTCATCCGATTTAAATCAGATTAAGTTAAGTCTTGATTGAATTAATTATTAATAAATTATAAGCCATTTAATTCGATTAAATCAGATAACATAATATCAATAGATATTATTATTTACATGTAAATATATTTATATTTGTATATTATTATGATGTGTGAATTTTACAATTATTATTTATAAATTTTGATAATAATTTTATTTTTTAAAAAAAAATTTAAAAAATAGGAAACTCCCGTCCCCCCCTCTCGCTCTATTGACATTCCTAAACATAAGAGAAGGATATGTCAGTAGATCCAGTATACAACTTTATAGTCTTGGTTATCCAAATCTTAACCAGATCTGTGCTACATGAAGAAGGGAGTGTCCTCTGCCTATAAACACCAAGAATTCTAGCCCCTTACGTTTCAAGATAAAGGTCACTAAGAGGTAAACCCAGCTACATTTTCAACACAATAATATGATCGAAATTATAATCAAAACAAGTATAACCAAGAGCAAGAAGACTCAGCTACACTAGCAAAAAGTTATGAGACTATCAAAATCAGGAACACCACGTCGAAAATAACTTAACTGTCTTATAAGAACTTGCAAGTAATAAGGTACATGGTTAGTCCATGCAACAAAGAGGAAACGCTGGTATCTAAGTCAGCCAACATTACACTTATCAGATTCGTATAAATAGAGAGTCCAGAGCAATCATTCATATTAGGATTTCTGGATGTTACTCACCATTAGCTCCTCTCCGGGATTAAGCTGCACGTCTACGGAATCATCTGCAGAAGCACTGAATAGACCTTGCAATTTCATCTACACAGAGATCGAATGATCAATTTACCAGACGGAAAGTTAATAGCTTATTTGTTTACGATGATTTGTCAGTGTTCCAGTAAACTTTCGTGAGTGATTGCGCATACCCCAGTTGGAGGGCTGTCCGCTGCGGGTGCGAGTAATCTTGACTAGGCTGTAGAACTTGGAGGAAGTTCCTTGAATCAAATGGAGTCAAGATCTCGTACTCGCTCGTTGAAGGCAGCATGTTGATCTGTTGTTGGGCTCTCTCATTCTCTGTTATCTGGCAATGGAGGCAAAGTTTTCAGCTTGTGCAGCTTAGAAACGTGTGAATGAGAGAGAGATCAAGAGAGAACCTTGTTCCTTAGATACATGTTGTCATTTTGCAGCTCCATCTCCTGACCAAAGAATTCAGAAGGCATTTGATTGAAGATCTCAAGAAATATGCCATAAGAAAGAATGGGAATTGTTTCATTACCCTTTTCTGCATGTACTCGATTTCAGCATGCAACAGCTCATTCTAACATAATCAAGGGACATTTGTTAAGAGTATATATACATTCCAGATAAATAGCATTTGAGGATTTCTATGGCAAACAGTTGATAGAGAGCTCGGGAAAAATTGACACCTTTTTAGTTCTTATCTTGCTTATGCCTTTCTCCAATTTATTCTCAAGTTGCTTCAGATCTCTGAGACTCATGGAGCTGAGAGCCTCACCCATCAAGTTCCTATGAAACAAGGATCACACTACAGCTACCAATGCCAGGGAAGAAAAGAGGGGTTATGCTTGAAATTTACCTGTTTGTACTTTGTATATTGTTGATTTGCTGTCGGAGTTTTGCTGATTCTAGCTGGTAGTGCTAAGAACAAACAGAAATAGTGAAGTCATAAGGTGTTATTTTTCAACACATCATAAATAGGACTTTTGGCTTTAAATTCATGAGCTAATCACAATGAACCTGGGAATCATATCAGATAAAAGGTAGTGATTGTGTAATTGCTATTCTATGAATGTACTTGGAGAATCCATTCTTGGAATGGAGCTCAATGTGATGGAAATGTACTTGTATAGTGTCACTATAAAAGACTGTCACAAATTAGTTTCCCTATGTATTTAAGAAGTACTGTAAATTACGTCCCTAAACACTATACTTCTGAAGGATATCTATATGATGCCAAAAACTAGTGTTAGCATCTAACAAGGGGTTTGACTATTGGAATCTCTAAGAGCAGTTAAATCTCTTCATGACTAGTTACACTAACTGTCACCCTTAAGACTCTGTCAGCAATTAGTATTAGAATGATTCAACTAGTTACAAACCGAGGTTGCTGCTTGTATCTTGTTTCACAATCTACAATTTTCATGAACTGCAACCAGTTGCTATCGATATATGTGACTGGTTTTGCCTCCACATGTCTCTAAAACAAGTAATGTTATTGCAACTATTAATGGGAGACATTATTTCAACTAGTGCAAGGATTTCCTACCACCGGCGGTGGCACCGGCACCCTGATGGTTTAGGTACCGATATCCACACTGCAAGACTTAGATGCAAAATATATTATAAGCACAATATCTTTAAGCAGTATGTAAGATAAGGAAAATTATGTGCAATAAGAAAAAGTGTTTATGACTGAAATATGCAAATAACTTTGATAAATGAAATATCGGCTTGCTCATTTTACCACAAAATGATTAATAGTTACTTCACAAAATGCTAGAGGAAAAAACAACGGGACATAACAATGTCATTTTAAGACTCTCTACTGATTGAAAATATCTCAAATTTCTTTCAAAATTGAGAAAAGAGAATAGTATTGTGCTGACTTTGTCTATCTGATCATCAAGATATTCTCAAAGCTATGAGTTATTTTCTTTTAATTATTCTATGGAATAATCACTTCCCTTTAAATATTTTCTTTGCTTACATTTTATGTTTCTAATATGTAAGAGGTATTGGGCGATTCCCAACTATTTATGGGAAGTGCTCTTAAGCTTATCTTTTACTTACCCTAATATATGTTTAGGTAAGTGAGTGCACCTTAATCATCAGGAGCTAAATCTATTCTAAGAATGGTGTGTCAAATGTGCCCTTAAGAATTTTTAGCCCTTCAGTATCTTTTTTCTCATAAATCTGAGCTATGCACTTCAAGACCTGCAAGATACAGTAAGTCACAAGAGTAATATATTCGAGGTATAGAGAATCCTGCAGGGCATGGAGTAACAAGGCCAGCATAGGCTCCGTCATCTTTGTAGACGACTTAACATGAAGGTTATAAATGAAGTGTGAGGTTTGAAGAATACAATGGAAATCTTTCTAGATGACTTTTGGATTCAAGATCACAGTATAATGATAAAGAAAAGTGAAAAACCAGATGGTGAATGGAAGGGTAGAAAAGAAGTCACAATTTATGCAAGATGAAGAATGGCAACACGATATAATAGACTCAGCGCTGTCTGCCTTGGAAAAAATATCTTAACTTCTGAATTATTGAAACTGTTATTAAATAGATAAAAAGCAGCCTACACATGAATAGTGTAGATGAGAAAATCATGGATTCACAAAAACCTTCCTCCAACTTTTTGTATGGCAGCACAGGAACAATACATTTGGAAGAAAAGGCTGGAAAGGAAATATTCAAAATGAAGGATGTGAGTATAGTATTTTTGGACACTTGAGTCTCTCAATAAATCTAAGATTTCAGTAGCTAAACATAAATATAGCCAGAATTAAGAAGAGTGGAGAGGCCTACTGGTAGGACATATTTAGTCTTAAGAAGAAAGGTGACTGGGGAACAAACAATTAAGTTTCACAAAGTTTTAGAAGGAATACACTTGATGAGCTACCTTCAAGGAAAAAGATGTGGAGAAAAGCAGAAGTCCTTGTATATAACTGGCAACTCTTTTGTAAGTGATGTAGAGTACATGGAATTTCTTAAGTTCTTATATATTTACTTTTAAGAGAGAATACACTAGTAAACAAGAAAATAGATTGCTTGAAGTTGCATTAGAAGCTAAGCTAGATGATATTCTTAGGAAATTATTAAAGATGATGACAAGGTTGCTCTGCGAGGTTCAATAAGGAAAACGAGCCAAGATAGAGAATATGGAAAGCAGCATTCTCTTGTTGTCTTTTACTTAGAAATGAAATCTTGGACAACTCTAGAAATGAATTCCTTTTCTTTTGACTTGGAACAGGAGAGGCTAGTCAATATAAGTGGGGGAATGCAACGGTTAGTGATAAGTCTAACAATGCAGGTGATGATGAAAGAGAATAGAAGAATAAAGAAGCAGCAAAACAGGGTGGATATTTCCAGACATCACAATTTCACAATTTTGAAGTTGCTAATATTACCACTAGTGTTGCCATCAAGTTAAAAATTCCAAAAATTTGTCCTTAAGTACCCAACAAGTATTTTGTGTCCATATGTCTGGTGTAACTAAAGTTGATTGATATTATTATGTTTAGTCGTGACTTCAAACTAATCAAATGTATATCTAAATCATCTTGGAACCAACCTAATTAGTATAATTGAGCTGAATAAGTAAATTAATTATTTTACCATGATCAATGTCTACCAAATCTCCACAATATTAATTCAAACTCTATATATAATCAATTTCGTTAGATTTGAAAGAGAGTTTAATTCGGTTGAATTTCTTGTTATTGACCTCTTAATGCAATTAAGTCATTAAAGATCAAACAATTTGAATTAATCATGGACTATATAAAGGATCAACAACAATTCTAGCTTCTAATAGGATCCATTGACCATTTGATTGGCTACTTATACTAATCATGTCCAAATCGAATCAAGTCCAGATTTAATAGGAACTCTTGGTCCCAATTACCACCGTACACTAATCTGAATCCAGATTACGTTAGTGGACCACAATTAGATATCTTTTGAATTTGCCTACTTGTCAGATTTTCAGATATTCCATCAAAACCTTTACTAAAGCCAAAAGTTAATTGAACACAAATTCAAGAGAGAAAGTTAATTGCTTGTATTAATATCTGCTGTCACTAACCACTCAAGTCTAGCCATACTTCTCTCCAATATTTTTTATAAGATCATTCTTCCCTCTCTTTCTTTTCGCCTCTCAATCTTCCTTGTGGCAACAGCAGTTTAAATTCAAATCCATGAATTAGTCATTAAATCCAAGCTCAAAGTCTCCGCGTGTTCAAATTTAAGGAGATTGCTCTTAAATTGAAAGTGGTGAACAATCAAAGTGAGTGAAACTTGAGAGGTTTGGTGAGATCCAAGAAGAAGCCTTAATATCTGATAAAACTTCAAAATTACCTTGCTCTTGCAGGTTATCCAATCCTAACTACTTAAATTTGACATCTACCATGGGTTTCACTTCAAAGATGTATTCCAATTTTCTAGTTTTTGTTTAATTTTTGTAGGATTTATGTAGATCTTGATGGGGTTATGCAGATCTTGTAGGATTTCTGTTCATGCAAATTCAATTCAAACCTGAAGTTTGAATAATTGCTTAAATCTTTCAATGTAGATCTTGTTTGAACCCTTTTCAATTCTATTTGGTGTATGTTTAATTGCTTCAAGATGTAGTATTGATGTATTTTTTATTATCGATTTAATGGAATCCAAGTTAATTTGGGGATTGGAGTATAGAAGAAGACTCGAATTGAGATTAAAAGGAGGTAAGAAAAGAGGTTCTGTTGGCGACTCTACTCCATTCTATCAATATACCAATAGATCTTGATGGAATACATTAGACCTAAAACACTGCATGGATTATCAATCAGGATGCTAACTTATAGGGCATATTTATTAAAAGTAGGTGGTCACAGCTTTGAGCATAGAAACTTCTGTAGGTTCATTTTGAAGAACTACTCAGGTGTGGAACTATGAGTGGAAGAAGACCAAGATAGGCAACTGATAAAACTTGAAGAGTCAAAACTTCTCATGCTTGAAACCTTCCATGCATAATTTCAGAAAATGAAGGAAATTCAAATACTATAAGTCAAATCAATTGGAATAATCATTTTTCAGTTTCAGATACATTCATAATTTTGTTTGTTTTCTTGCCTTGTTGATCTTTAGTTATAAATAATGCATAGTACTTGAGAGTCCGGCTCATTTTGCACAAACATATTCTGAATGTGTTAATATATAGTCTTGTAGGATACTTCATGGCATGACAACAAAGCAAGCATACTGTTACATTCATCTTGGTCTTGCCAGAATAAGTACGTGAATTCATATTTGGAAGCATCAAAAGAAACACGTAATGCTATTTTATATAACATCTTTCTGGATCTTACTCCAATAATGTGAAAGAACCAGAATACAAGCAACGAAACAGGATAAAGAGAAGAGGATTCTGTAAATTAGATAAAAACCTGTTTTACAAATTATAAATCTACATATTGTGGTCTCCCTATGGTTGAAAGCGAAAAAACTTGCTGTGACTGAAGCTAAATTAATGTGGAACGAGATTTTCCGATCTAGATAACGCACAAAGCTAACATGGTTAGGTTGACAATGGTTGGATATTCATGCAGTATGACTTCCACCGAAGAATATGAAGTATTGCTAGTAGATATTTGCTTTTTGGTGCTGAAATATGTGATCATCACTAGTAATTGTGAATAGAACAAGACAATTATGAATAACATGCAACTACATAGAGGTTACCTGAGCATTAACTACTGAGAGAGATCCCGTGCCAGTGGTATCACTACATGCTTTCTTATACCTTTCAATGGTTGCTTTCACGCTGCATAGAAATGATAATTATTTTTGTTATCAACATAAGCTCATGTCTGAGAATATCCCCTTTAGTGACATTTATGGGAGAAGGTCTTATTATATAGAAGACTACAAAAATTTAATAGTAACATGTATTTATTCCATTTTATTTATATCTGAATTTTTTGCTGTGATTGATAATTAGAAACAATCTTGCTTAACTAATGAAGGCATCACAAATGAAAATGGTTCATTTGTTCTTTAATATACAGTATATAATAGTTAAAATTGTTGGTCAGCTATTTCATATGGGCTTTATGATATGCTATAAATTGTGGGAAATTTTTTTTTTTTGGATCATGTATTCGCCTAACCTCACTTTAAGAGATTAAAAAATAAAAATTCTATATTCTTTTTATTCTTTATTTATTTTCTTTTAATATTATTATAAAACAGGTTGTACATGGCTAGTCTTTCTAACTTATCTAACACCCTCACAAGAAAAAAGTATAATATATTTTATAATGTTAACTTTCAAGATGTCAACCAGTTTAGTTGATGATGACTATATCATAAAGTTTTGGGATCAAATCTAATCTTCATTATTTATCCTTCGTAAAAAATATATGTATATACAAATTGTTTCTATGGAATGAAAAGGTTCTTAAGATCTTTGTGCTGCATGGAACACCCTAGACATGTATTACTTGTAATCCATAAAGGTGATTCTGACCCACAAGGTACTCAAAGATAAAGATCAACGCACGCTGAGCATACCATTTTGGCTTCATGATATGTTATTCGCAAGTAAACTTTAAGGAAAGATTTCCTACTTTTAGCATTCTAGAAAATATAGGAGGTCCCTAAACAGAAGACAAATGTTTGCAAACATGTTAGAATAGTTGAAGGTTCCTAATTAAGAGACAAATGACTACAAAATTAGGGTGGGACAAAAGGTTGCAAGGCCTTTTACTAATTTTTACCCAGAAAAAGAACCTTGCCTCAGATTTCCAAGGGATTACCAGAACCTTGCCTTTTACTAATGCCTTGAATTCCTAGCTTTTACCTAAAACAAAAACCAATAAATTAACCCCCGTCTTGAGTAACCACGAACATGGTCTACACTTAAAATACTGTATTCCAGACTGATGTCAGCCCTCCCCATTCCCAAAGCCCTCTTCCGACCTCTCTCGCTCTTCTCCCCGACCTGTCCTCCAACCTTAGTTTCCTCGAGGATCCGATTGGTCCCTGTCTGCCACGTCGGCGCGCGATCCGACGACATGATTGGCTGAGCTCCCGCGCCGCTCGATGGGCCCGGGTGGCGTCCTAGGTCCGTTTTATCCGCAAGACAATAGCTGAAACCCCCGTCACCCTTTTGTACATACCTCGATGGACCAAACCCTACGGTCTTCTCTCGGGGTCCCTTCGCCCTGACCGCCTTGGTTGCCTTTCCCATGCGTACACCAGTCCCAGTACATTCATCCCATTGGCTTCTCAGACCTGTCCTCTCGCCGTACTCTACACACCCTCTCTCCGTCTCTCGTAATGCGATACTTTCCAAAGTTCACTTGACAGCTAAATCCATCGCGGTATATGGTACAAAGATCGTGTGAGGTCGGAGGGAGAGAGAATGGAGTCGGGGCAGAGTAAGACAAAAAACCCTAATGCGCTCAAGAGATATCAAGAAAGAGATGTGACATGCGGTAAGGTCACCGGCACTACGATTACGAGGAATGGGCTAATGAGAGCGTGACAGCTCGAGAAGAGGCTTTCTCACGCTCATGGGTGACGTGAAGAGAGAGAGAGAGAGAGAGAGAGAGAGGAGGGGGAGGGGATGAGAGGGAGGAAGGGGAAGGGGTAGGAGTGGTGGTGGGAGGAATAAAGGAGGGGAAAGAGAGGAAAAGAGAGAGAAAATGGCAAAGCTTAGATGCAAAAGGTGTGGTTGGAGGAGGTCATATGACCCAGGGCGACCACTGCCCGTCCAATACCAATACCTCACTCTTTGCCATTCCTACTACTCTCAACCACTGCTGTGGAAGCCGCTGATCTGTGCTTCCACTCAACAAAGCAATGAAAGGAAGAGAAAGGAGTTGTGCGAGCAGGAGTTCTCGCACACAGAAACATCATCCGAAGACAAAGAAAGGAAAGAATATACAAAGAGAAGGAAAAGAGGGGGATCACCAGGCAATCACATATCAGCTCCGCAGTACCAAATCTATGTAAACATCCAACCAACCCATGATACGGGCTTACAGCCACTAGATCTGCTCCTCACAAGCTCAGATCTCATCTTCAGGAACCAGAACAAGAACAAACAAAGAAATCGAATCCCCCCCCCCCTTAAAAAAATCTCAAGTCCAAAGTAGTTCTCCTCCTTTCAAGAAAGTAGAAGCGAACCCTGATTTGGCCGCCCTCATAAGAGACAAGAAACATAACCATACCTTAGCTAGTTTAGCTGATAGCTATATATCTCTTCCAATGTGTTACAGAGAAAGAGTAGAAGCAAAGTGAAAGTGGAAAGGGAAACATAAGTTGTAGATCGAAGAAGGGAAGGGAAGCAGACCTGCTGTTGGCGTACTCGTAGAGGCGGCCACGGGTGGAGAAGACGACGAGGGCAACCTCTGCGTCGCACAAGACGGACAATTCGTAGGCCTTCTTGAGGAGGCCGTTGCGGCGCTTGCAGAAGGTCACCTGCCGGTTGGTCGTGTTTTCGATCCGCTTGATCTCGATCTTGCCGCGGCCCATCTTCTCCGCTCGCTCCAGCGTTTCCGATCCTTCAATTCCCTAATTAACCTGAAACAGCGGAACGATGATGAGTGGACTCCTTAAGAAAAGCCATCGCCGATCTTATTCCTTCAACACGGGGAGTCGACGGGAGGAAGAACAAAGAATCAGGTCGAACCGACCTTTCCTCCCTCCACTCCCTCTGATCTCTTCCTCTCAATCTATGGCACTCCTACTGGGTGTAGCAGCAAATGCAAGGGAAGAAGTGGTTATTAAGTGAGGCGTCACTCGCCATCGGATTCATGGAGGAAGGGTATGATGGGTGGGGACTGGGGATAGGGGGGGGGGGAGGAAGTGACTTCTTGAAAGCGATCGCGAGTGGGATGTGAATGAGACATTGGGTTGAGACGCACTCAAACAAACAATTAGACTGTTGTTTAAGTTAAATGCTAACAACTATTATCAGTAATATAATGTAATTTGAATATAGACATCGAATGATTATTGTATTATTGCATAAATGATATATGTCAATGGAGCATCTTATACGTTATTTAATGTTATCATCACTCATCACTAAATCAATTGTAAAATCTCATGCTTAAAATATTAGGGTTTTTTGGGGTTAATTTTAGGTCTTGTTATTGCAGATCAAATTCATTGGCCAAATTCTTTGATCTTATACAGACCAAA